CTGGTAATGGAAGGAGTAAATTGTCAAAGCCCTGTGGACAATAAATGGTCAGCAACTAAATGCAGGTCTACTAATTCCAAAGTCAATCAATTTTTCACTAAATGACTAGTCCCAGTATATCCTGGATTGTGTGCTTTAAAATACAACCTTTAAATTCCAATAGGCTTGGCCACTGAGTCCCATGGGCTTTTTATACCAGTGCTTGTATAAACACTTTTGAACATGAAAAAAACTTTTTTGCCGTGCTGAGGATTGAACACACGCAAGACAAGCACACTACCACACTGAACTATATCCTCATCACTCTTGGAGACATTTTCGCTATTAACTTCCCACCTTTAGCCTCCAAAGTAGCTGGGATTGCAGAGACATTTTCGCTATTAACTTCCCACCTTTAGCCTCCACAGTAGCTGGGATTGCAGGCCCACGTCATAAAGCCCATTAACAAAACAGTTTTCAAATGGTAATAACTCTTCTACTGAGTTATACTCTTGGCCTGCAAAACTCCTTGCACTGGCACAAATAGCCAAATTTTCTATTTTCTGAACTGCTTTGGAGGGGCATGGGCTCCCTATGTAGCCTAGTCCCATGTTGCCATGCTGGTTCTGTAATTTTCTTCAACAGTGTTAGGAATGAACTGTGCATATTAGGCAAACACTCTACCACTGAGCCATCTCAGTTTGTATCCTAGTCATTTTGTCAGCTTTATTTTTGTCAACAAAGTATTAGTTCAATAATACTAACACCAAAAGGAAAAAAAATACCTGTTTGTTCAAACATAGTCAAATATGGTGATGGATACCTTAATCCCAACACTCAGGGCAGGCAGATCTTTGAGTTTGTGGTCAGCCAGAGTTAATAGTGAAACTGTCTCAAAATAGTTTAAACCAGCTGGACAATGGTGGTGCAAACCTATAATCTCAGCAATCGGAGACAAAGGCAGGAATATCTCTGTCAGTTAAAGACAGCCTGGTCTATAAATGAAGTGCCAGGACAGCCAGGGCTCTATTATACAGACAACCCCTGTCTCAAAAAACCAAATTAAAAGGCTAAAGCATGAGATAGGCTGTAATCCTAGCCAATAGAAAGACTAAGGTAGGAGGATCACAAGTTCAAGGCCTATCTGTGCTACAGTTAGTTCCAGGGTAGCCTAGGCAATTTTATGAGATGTGATCTCAAATCACAAAATAAAAAGCACTTGCCTGGAATGCATAAGACTCCAGGTTCAAATTCCAGTTCCACCAAAAATAATATAGAAAATGAAATCAAATGATCTACTAGATTTGAAGTCAGGATAAAAAGGACCATTATGTATGTAGATACCAAAAGTGTTAAGAGTTTTTCTTTGTAGAATTTAAACAGTTTAAAGTTCATTAAATTTATAATAGATAAATGGATGGAAGTTTAGCTGTGTTGTTCTGTCATCTCTCACTTTCAAAAATATAAAGCATTTACAAAAACAACAAACAAACAAAAAAAACAGGGCACTGGGCATGGTGAAACATACCTTTAATTCCAGCACTCAAGAGGTAGCAGGCAGAACTCTCAAGTTCCAGGCTAGACAGGGCTACAAAGTGAGACCCTGTCTCAAAAACAACAACAAAAATACAAGGACAGAGGGACTAGAGATGGCTATATGATGTAGAGTACTTGTTACTCTTACAGAAGACCTGATTTGATTCCCAGCACTATGTAGAAGCTCACTACCATCAGTAACTTTGGTTCCAGGGAATTGAACATCCTTCTCCTGGCCTAAATGGGCAACAGGCACACACACGATGCATATACATACATACATACATACATACATACATACATACATACATACAAAGTACTCATACAAATAAAATAATCTAATTTAAAAAGAAACAGGACAGGGTTGTGTTATTGCATTTATTTATGGGAAGAAAATGCTTACCAACTATATGACTCGTTGAAATGTTTCCAGAAGTAGACTAGTAGAATATACAGTGTATTCAGAACTATTGAGACAGCATAGCAATGAGCTTACAGATGACCCAGATAGTAACCAACACTTAGCTTTGCTTATAATTTCCTATCTTTACCTCTTGTAGAGGGCAGATGAAAAATCCAGAACAGATTCAGGAATGTCCCTTATGTCTAACCTCTTCACAGGAAGAGGACTGACTTGCAGTTCACAATTCCGACTACAAGTCTCTAAAAACAATTCAATCGAAAGAATATTAAGAACTATAAAGTAAATGACAGAAAACTCTGCTATGCTATCAATTTATAGGATCAAGTTAGTGGGAAGCCAATATGATGACATTTCATCCCACTCAAGTAATTCAGAGAATGAATTTAATCTTCAACCACCATTCCATGTTCTTTTATTATTACTCTACCTCATTATATCAGAATTTGTTCTCTATAAACTCAATTTTGAATTGCTTCTTTTAAAATAAAAAATATAGCTGGGCAGTGGTGGCACACACGTTTGATCCCAGCACTTGGGAGGCAGAGGCAGGCAGATCTCTGTGAGTTTGAGACCAGCCTGGTCTACAAGAACTAGTTCCAGGACAGGCTCCAAAGCTACAGAGAAACCCTGTCTCAAAAAACCAAATAAAAAAATAAATAAAATAAAATAAAAAATATTTTCCCTTAAACACCTAGAGGATTAGACAGGAGGAGTTTCATGAGGTTGTTATATAATTAGCTCCGCTAGATCTTGCCTCAAAAAAAATCAAAAATAAAACACAACCAAAAAAGACTGGCATATCACCTATATCAATCACTTAATTTTAGTTGAGGAAAACAACTTTAAGATGAAACATGATGACAACTAAATCCTTCCTGAACCAGTGTTCCTACCCAGAAATCATTGAGGGCAGCCCTTTAACCCTGGTCTGACCCATACACTAAGAACCTTTTATACCTGTACTTAGGCTATCATTAAACACAAGTATCTCTCTCCACCCAGAAAGAATCATTCTCATCAAATTCCTTTAGACTGTCACAGGTTGCAAGGACAGTATAATCTGCAGATGTGCAGTTATTACCTTTAACCTAAACACAAACACAATGTGTTGCTGTCTACTACAGATATTTGTCCAATACATATTGGTGCTGTTATGATTAATGAAATTAAAATCTTAAAGCATTGTAATATGAGAAAATCTAGAGCAAAAATTCTGGTGGGAAACCCTGTGTTCAAAAACATATCCATAATTGAGGAATCCATCTTTGAAGAAAACCTCAGTTAATTACAGGGGTAGGATAAGTGGTTTTACATCCCTATTCAAAGCTGAGAAAAAAATAATGAAGGAAAAAACAGACAGGAAACTATTACTATCTTAACCTTATTTATCAAAACTTCAGAGTACTATATAAAGTGGGACCTGAGGATTTAGAAATCTCTGTTATCCAAAAATGTTAAAGAACTACACTCACAAAAGAAAATGTCTTCATCCTGGCACTAACCCAAAAATGCTGCACCTCATTGGTCTGGTTTTGATTATTATTTGCTACCCACTCAATGGTAAATCAAACGAACAGGATGCTAGTCACTGAGGTATTCTATTTCCCAGTCCTACAGGATTCTGGAAAAAGTACATGTAACACAATTCTATAAATGCAAATGGTCTACTTGACTTGCTCTTACTGGAAGCCTTACTACAATGTTTTTTTTTATTGATATTTATTGAGCTCTACATTTTTCTGTTCCCCTCCCTGCCTCTCCCTTCCCTCCTTCAACCCTCCCCCAAGGACCCCATGCTCCCAATTTACTCAGGAGATCTTGTCTTTTTATACTTCCCATGTAGATTAGATCCAGGTAAGTCTCTCTTAGTGTTCTCATTGTTGTCTAAACTCTCTGGGATTGTGGTTTGTAGGCCTTACTACAATGTTTACTGAAACATAGTGGCCAACATTTCTAAAGACTTCATTGAGCTATTTCTTTAAAAAGAGTATAGATTATAATTTTTTTCTTTGAGTGCCTTGTGATTTGTTTTTTTTATATTTTATTTTTTTAAATTTATTTATTTAAGGATTTCTGCCTCCTCCCCGCCACCGCCTCCCATTTCCCTCCCCCTCCCCCGATCAAGTCCCCCTCCCTCATCCGCTGGAAGAGCAATCAGGGTTCCCTGACCTGTGGGAAGCCCAAGGACCGCCCACCTGTATCCAGGTCTAGTAAGGTGAGCATCCAAACTGCCTAGGCTCCCCCAAAGCCAGTTCGTGCACCGCGAGGGGTACGCCCACACACTGAGACAATGGGGATGTTCTATCGGGAACTCACCAAGGCCAGCTGGCCTGAGTCTGAAAAAGCATGGGATAAAACCGGACTAGCTGAACATAGCGGACAATGAGGACTACTGAGAACTCTAGATTATAATTTTTTTTGAGACAAGGTCTCTCCCTATGTAGAATTGGTAGGTCTAGAACTCACTGTTTAGACCATGCGGGTCTCAAATTGTAGTGACCCTATGTCTGCCCCTGCCAATGCTAGCATTCCAGATGTGGGTCACTGTGACACACACTGATTTTATAAAGGATCTCTATCAACACCAAGACCAGAAAAGTTGAAACAGAAACTACAACAAACCACCCAAATAATGTGTAGATTCTGGACAACTCTCGCCTGTTCCACTGAGGCAAACTATTTTTAAGAGCTAATGACAGTTTTGGATGCAGAATAAGTTACAGATTACCACTTTAACTTCCACTAGCTTTCTGATGTAACTGGATAGCAAATAGATATTAAAAGTTTGGTGACTTCATGTTGGACAGACCTGAGATAAAATGAAGGCTCCACACACACTAATTTTTAACAAATCACTCAACTTTCTCAGAGTAGCTTGTTTCCTCTTTAAACTAGAATATCCTCACGAAGGCCTGACTGAGGATTATGAAATAAGACATGCCAAAGCCAGATCCTAGCACACACTCCTTCAAGAGAAGTTTGTTATAAATGTAGCCCAGTTACTATCCAGCAGAGTTTGCACCTATTTCCTAGGAATACTTATTAATAATGTTCTACTTACTTTGAAGTGTCCTGGTTAGTGTAAGCTTTTATGAGGTTATCTTACAATGTTGATAATAGTGACAGAATTAATTCCAACTAGAGTATGTATACCAATATGGCTTCTTGAATCTTGAAGGGGGAGAAAAATAAAATGGCAGATAAAATAACTCACATTCTATTGAGATTTCATTTAGCTACTCACCAAACATTTAACAGCATGTTCTTATACCCAGGTATTTCCAACAATATCTTAAAGCAGCTTAATTTTTTTCTTTTAGTGCTATAAAAGTTTGGCTAATTTTAGATTACTCAATAAAACCCATACCTAAAGCATAGGTGATTTTCAGGTACCCTTTGAATTCACAGTAAAAAAGCACCCACCCTCATCGTGAAGAACCCATTCAACCACAGGGACTATAGAACACAACATATATTTGCAAATATATTCTATGTATACATCATCAGGAGACGAAACAAAAAATTACCTGTCTGTTATGGCATAGTACTGAAACCCAATAAGCTGGATTTTCAGTTTTCTTCACTGCGCTCTAGAAGAAAAAGAATTCATTAGTCTTCCTGTTAGAAGATCCACATTTTCTTTTTAATAAAACAAATTCTCAAAAAACACATATCATATGTATTTTGGTTACATGCATCATAATCCAAATTAATTCAATGTTAGTATTAGGATATTTGGGGAACCAAGGAGGTCAGAGGGAAGCAAGAATTAGATAAAACATTTCCTTTAAAGGCCAAGAGGCAACCTACCTTTTACTATTAGCTTCTTTAAAACAGGCCTTTCCTTATCAGACTAGTCATTATTTTCAGATTCTAAAAGTTACTTTCAAGGACTTCTTTGGTACACTACACCAGCCTAAGGCAGAAACTATAAGGAATAAAACCATCCGGACATCTTAGGCTAAAGAATGTTAGCGACCTTTTTCAGTAAGAGGAACTGCCGAAAAATAGCCCTCTAAAGGGTTGCTGGGGTTCGTCTTTCTACATAGTTAACCTGTATTTCAGAAACTGATTTGAGAAAAAGGCCGACCTGTAATTGTGCCTGCCTCTGCAGACGACTCTGATCTAATGGGAAGATGAGTAACTTTGTAATTATGAAGAATCAAAGAAATGATTAGCACTACATTTGTTATTTTTCGTCTTCAAGCATCTAAACGCACTGTGGTTAATTATGATTCAAGAAATGTAAGCAACTGATTTCTAGCAAAAAAAAAATATCGTGAAGCCCGCCAGTGGTGCGTGAAAATCTGATATAAATCCTTTTGCCCCCAAAAGAAAAAAAAATGACCTTAATAACTAGGCTGCTAGGCCTCAGACTGCTCGACTAACCTGTGGAATAAGTATGGTGAAACTGTCCAGGGAAAGAACGTGGCTGTCTCCTCCATCTTGAAATTAATCAGCATAAGGGGAAAAGGGACTGAGTATTCAGGAAGCAGAAGCCCAACCGGTTAATACTAGTTACTAAGCTATGGCGTACGTGGCAGGTACCGCCCGCAGAAGCCGAGACCCTTAGGGGTTTTTCTGAGTGGGGGAGGGGCGTGACTGCTGGCAGATCACACGGACATTAACTTGAAAATAATTTGGCTCAGTTCCCACACTTACCCAGGGAAAACAACCCGCAACGTCTTTTCCCTCCGTTCTTTTTTTCTTTCTAGATGAGGGGGAAAATCCTAGTAATAATCTAGCCAAGGATACAGCAGGGCTAAAGGAGCAAGGAAGCAAATCACATTTGTCCCCGATCCTCAGGGAAGACTGTCATCGTAGCCCCAGAGGACAACTAATTGCTAATGCCCTACAGAAAGGTTCAAAATGGGGCTTTGCGAATCCCAGGAAAATCTGAAGGCCCAAGAGTTCCTAACATCTAACTTCGAGCCCCTCCACCCCACTTCCCCAAAGCCTAGCCCGATCCGCAACGCGGGGCGACGAAGTGGGGCGGGGGGGGGGGGGGAACTCGAGGAAAGAGAAGGACTGGAGACGCTTAGCTTCTCACACCCGAGGCCCAAAGTCCAGGATGGCTTCTCGGGCCGGCGTTCCCAGCTTGGGAGAGCGGGCCGGGCAGCGAGTCCAGGGCCCCGGGAGGAAGTCCTCCCCACCTCCTTCCCCTCCTTCCACGAGCCGGCCGCCACCCGCCACCCAGCTAAAATGGCAGCGGCAACTACGCCACGGAGCCCCCCGGAGCCAGGAGCCCGGGGCCGGGGGCCGCGCGGGGTGTCTCGGCCACAGCCGACCACTCGGGCCATTTTGAAGAGCCGCGGCGCTGCTGCCTCGCTCCAGCCCGACAGCCCGTTTCTCGGGGTACCCCATGCCTTCACTTACGCGGAGGTCCGGCCAGGAGCTGACTCGCTGAGCTCCGTCGCTGTCGCCGCCGCCGCTGCCACTGCCACAGTCTCAGGAGCGTCGCTGCGTTGTCGCCGCCCGCTTTCAAGCCCGCCTCCGAATGCCTGAGGGAGACCCGCCTCTAGCCTCGCAGCGACTGATCGGAGACGTAGCTCAAGCAGCCATTATCTTCCCCATTGTTACCTAGCTGTGACAGGAAACGACAGCCCACAACAGGAAGTGATGATGTCGCGTCCCGGTTTCACAGTGGGCAGAGGCGGGGACCGGGAGACTACGACAAGGCGTGTGGCGGGTGGGGTGTGGGGGAATGCTGCTGTGACGCCCACCATGTGACAGGCCCCACCCTCATTCGCCATTTTGAATTGTGGCGAGAAATTCGCGTTCTGAGAATTGTGGGAACCTTTGTGTTCCCATTTTGAAAGCTGAAGAACGTCACGTTCAGGCCGGCTGAAGCCTGTTTTTCAGAGAACAAGAATGTGGTATCAGTGTAACTGCCATTGATCCACACAGCCCAGACTCCTGTAAACGGCAGCCAACATTTTATTTAACATATATTTAATGAGTGCCAACTGTAGATCAAGCATAATTGTCGATGTTGAGAAAGTTGAGCCAAGCCGGGCGGTGGTGGCGCACGTCTTTAATCCCAGCACTCGGGAGGTAGAGGCAGGCGGATCTCTGGGAGTTCAAGGCCAGCAGCCTGGTCTACAAGAGCTAGTGCCAGGAAAGGCTCAAAGCTACGGAGAAACCCTGTCTCGGGGGGAAAAAAAGTTGAACCAAAAATAAGGTTGATATAGGCTAGAAATAAAAATTCTCAGTTCCTAAGCGATTTGGTAATCTAGAGTGAACAAAAATTTTAAATATATTACGTGTTGCCCAATACTGGAGCTTAAAAGAGGGGGAGGGGGCGCACCGCAGGGACAAAAGTAAATTTGCAATGTTTGAAAGTGGCGAGGAAGGACGCTAAGGGTCTCTAACTTGAGTACTTTAAAAGGGGGCGGTGATTGTAAATGGATGGGAAAATCTGATAGCAGGGGAATTCTAAAAAGGGCGGTTAAGGAAACCTTTCTTAGCTGCTAATGACGAAAGGAAGGATCGAAGGGAATGCAGCCTACAGCTTCCAATTCCCATTGAACAGTTAAAGGGGAAAAGAATCTTAAGCCAGTGTTTTAAGGGTGTCTCTGTGCCCCCATCCCCATTTTTCTGTTTTCTCTTAAAAGCATAGATAGAGTAGCTTGTTTATTGTTTTTTCCAAGGGATCTAACTTAGCCCAACTCAGGTGTTTAAACTAATCCGGAAGCGGGGGTGAGGTGGGGGGAATGGGGTGGTGGCAGCAGCAGCTGTGCGCGTCTCTAGTACCAGCGCTTGGGAGGCAGAGGCAGACAGATCTCTGAGTTCGATGCCAGCCTGGTCTACACATCGAGTTCCAGGACAGCCAGGGCTACACAAACACACAAACCAGACTGGAATATTTTTCTTTGATATTTTTGTATTAATCATCTAGCCTCATCTTATCTCTCAGAGAAACCTGTGATCATCCAATTTAATCTAACAACTTCTCTTAAACTCTTTTCCATACCATTTAAGAATGCAATAAAACCCCCAGAACTGAGGAGGCTGAAGCAGGAGAATTGTTGAGAGTTGGAGGCCATCCTAGGGTACATAGTGAATTCCAGATCAGTCTGAGTTAAAATGTAAGACATTTTTTTTTAAAATGGAGAATCTCTCTATGAGACCCAGGCTGACCTTAAATCTACAGTCCAGCTTTTTCTTCCCAAGTACTTCCTGCTCCAAATTCATGGATGTCTTAAAGCCTCAGTATATCCAGAAATGACAGTGTCTGTTTGGTAAAGTGTGTCAAAAGCCTCAGTGTATCTGGACATGACTGTGTTTGTCAGGTATGCCTGTACCTAAACGAATAAAGCAGGATTGCAACAAATTCAAAGTCAGTCTGGGGCTACATAGTGTGTTCCAGGTCACCGTAGGCTAAAGTGAGACCCTGGGTTTCTTTTTTTAATGCTAGTCATAGTGGATTTTTTAATCTTTAAATTACATTGCGCTCGCGCACACGCGCTTTTGCCCCACCCCCACCCGGTGCTGGGAACAGGCCTTAGGCAAACATTCTTCCACTAAGCTAGCCCAACTCCTAGAAAGAAGTTGGACATACATGGAAGTAAAGTGTGATCATTATTAGTCATTTAACCATCTTAATTTTTTCCTATATTGTCTTAAACATTTTACAATATACATGTGTTAATAGGTTTTAGAAGGGGGAGAGGCATGTTCATTCAGAAGAAGTATTTAAATGTAAAAAGAGAAAAAGAGTTCCTATCCATTTATTCCTTCCACAATCCAAATACACACTTTGCCTTTCTTCCTGTTTTTCCCGAGCTTTTTCATAAGCATGAAGCTGCTTCAAGTATGTAGGAAATTATTCACTTTATTGTCAAACTTTGAATGCAGCCCGTGATGCCATTGAGTACACTCTGGAACCATTCAAAACAAACACTGAATACTTCTGTGTCCGCCTACTTGTTTGTCCCACGCAACACTGAAATGTTTCCTAAAAACCTCTTCTTGATTACATGGTCTTTAGGAAAAAGAAAAACATTTCCTTGTGTTCCTCTCGATGGTCTGCCGATCTCTACTCAGATCTACCAGTAGCTCTCGGCACACGCCTGGACTCTGCAGTAGGACAGACGTCGAGCCGGTATCAGTGTAAAGAACATTGCAAAGGAGACTAGTGTGCCAATGGAAGTACTAAGAGAAGCTGCTATTTGTGCCTGAGATCTGAAAAGAGGAAGGTACTTCAGGGAAATAAAGGAGGAACCCTGAGAGAGGAGACAGCCTTATTTAAATATCCTGGGGTGAGAAAATGGAGCCTGCGGTCCTGAAAGGCTAGATGATTTTTTCCAGCAAAGATTCGATTTTATTTTCTTCACAGCGCTCACACATTAGAGTTTATCTGGTCCATTTGCTTGCTTATTGGTTTTATTTATATGTTTATAGTCCGTCAGTCTTCCAGCTGGCTGGCTCCCACCCCTCTGAGAGTAAACATCGTGGGAACTGAAGCTTGGCTCCACCCCCTCACAGCAGTATCTCCGGAGCCTAAATTACTAACAGGCACTCAATATTTTTTTTTTTAATGAATCAACAGGTTAGTGTGTAGTTCTTGTTGCAGATTTAAGATCTAGCC